TACCAGGTGAGTAGAATTTTGTACCGCAGAGGTGGTTTTTCCAGTGAAAAATGTTCTTGCTGTGGTTTTCACACCTGATGATGATTGCTTGTGTTGCAGTCGAAACGTCGTGAGAATTTTATTGTTTTATATCTGTATTATTTTATTGTTTCCCTTCTACGTGACTTTACCGAAAGAACCAAGAATATGCATCCCTGCAGTCACGAAAGCTTTAAATCAAAATTTAGGTGTCAAGATGTTAAAACACCAAACTGAAACCTTTTACAAGGAATTATGTCTGCATTAACCACAATAACTTGTTGCCAGAATGCAAACAAAAAACGTACTCTGATAATATATGCATTGTCTTTGAAACCGATTGGTCCACAGGAAAATCTCTTGTGATCCGCCACCCGTGGACCGCTGTCAACGTATTGGCCACTGGAAAGAACTTTCTATATTTTAGCTCTACCAATAGTGGTGCCAGGATACGTGCACCTGTCTTAACTGTACGGTATTTAGTAAGTTTATGACAGCTGTCTTCCATTTGTAGCCGTGCCTGAACGGGTGCACCTACATATTTGTAAGAGCTGTACAATACAGCGGTGCTTTGGAATAGGTGCACACCGCGTCATAGCCGGTACACACACAAGACTGCTGCCACCGGCTATACAGCGCGCCGGCAATCGTGCAGACCGGGTGGTGAGGGTGTTGTATCTCGAGGCGTCACCACAGCAACGTCTGTGCCAGAGCTGCGTTACCACTGTTAAGAGGATGGCGCGCAATTTCGGCATTGGGCATCAGTGTTTTGCCGTAACTAGGTACTGCGCTGTGTAATGTACGTGCATATGTATGTTGAACTTCTTTCGCACCGTACGTTGCCAACCGTGCTTATCGGAGGTGCGGGGGAAATACTGTGTTGTGCCGTGCTGTCCGATTGTATAGCATTGTACTGTATTGCTTTGTTTACTAATGTTATCCAGCGTTTTGTATTTTATTCAATAAACAGTTCAATGGGATGCCACCATGGTGTGATGGTTATCAAACTGGACTTGCAATCCAGAGGTCGTTGGTTTAACCTCCTGGCACGCCAGTTTAAGAAACAGGCATGCTTCTTAATCTTTCCACCTCAGTCCAACCGGCAGTACCAATGGGTACACACCACAATTAGTTGATCGCCACAGTGCGTGTGGTGGAGTAAAGTGGCGAGATGTTAACTACTTCGCCAGGTATACAGGAGGTCATGGGTTCGATCCCGACCCTGACGCCTGCTGTATATTTGAAGTTTGCTTGTCTTTCTCCCCGTGCTCGTGTGGTTTTTCTCCGGGTCCTCTGATTTTTCCCTCCACATTTAGAATTAACATCACGTGTTCAGAGAATTTGGCTGCTATACATTTCCATACGATAAGCCACTTCACTGAGCTATCATTTGTGGCCAAGGTCGCTTCTGAAAAAGAGCTACATAGTTCAGGGGGCCTTATCTGGTAAAATAAAAGTAGTTTAGTTTCTAAGACGTGACCAGTTGGGAAGAGTAGGCCAAATACGGTCGAGAGGGCTCTAGAGCTCCTAGGTTTGGACACCCTTCTGGCAGCAGTCGTGCGAGCAAGCAATTTCTACGGCTGCACCTTTACCTTCGACTAACTTTATTGCCCGGTCAAGTTACATTGTTACGAGTGTACTATGCTGTTTTGGTTACATTGTGCTGTGGTGTACTGTATTAACATGTGTTAATAATGTCGTGGCAACAAGCAAAAAGAAAAACATCGATGTCAATTGATCGCAGCCAATTGTGTTCATTAAAAGCACATAAATCACTTGGCAGCAGTGCATTCGATGGGCAGTATGAGATGTGTGCTCATGCCAAGTCCCACAGTCAGCTCATTTTCAGTTAATTTATTTTGGTATAGCCCTGTGAGCCATTCGGCTCTTGAATCAGGTGCAACCACAACAAACATAAAACAAAAACAGTCCATACAGTGAGGGAAAAAAGTATATGATCCCCTGCTGATTTTGTACGTTTGCCCACTGACAAAGAAATTATCAGTCTATAATTTTAATGGTAGGTTTATTTGAACAGTGAGAGACAGAATAACAACAACAAAATCCAGAAAAACGCATGTCAAAAATGTTATAAATTGATTTGCATTTTAATGAGGGAAATAAGTATTTGACCCCCTCTCAATCAGAAAGATTTCGGCTCCCAGGTGTCTTTTATATAGGTAACGAGCTGAGATTAGGAGCACACTCTTAAAGGGAGTGCTCCTAATCTCAGCTTGTTACCTGTATAAAAGACACCTGTCCACAGAAGCAATCAATCAATCAGATTCCAAACTCTCCACCATGGCCAAGACGAAAGAGCTCTCCAAGGATGTCAGAGACAAGATTGTAGACCTACACAAGGCTGGAATGGGCTACAAGACCATTGCCAAGCAGCTTGGTGAGAAGGTGACAACAGTTGGTGTGATTATTCGCAAATGGAAGAAACACAAAAGAACTGTCAATTTCCCTCGGCCTGGGGCTCCATGCAAGATCTCACCTCGTGGAGTTGCACTGATCATGAGAACGGTGAGGAATCGGCGCAGAACTACACGGGAGGATCTTGTCAATGATCTCAAGGCAACAGGGACCATAGTCACCAAGAAAACAATTGGTAACACACTACGCCGTGAAGGACTGAAATCCTGCAGCGCCCGCAAGGTCCCCCTGCTCAAGAAAGCACAAATACATGCCCGTCTGAAGTTTGCCAATGAACATCTGAATGATTCAGAGGACAACTGGGTGAAAGTGTTGTGGTCAGATGACACCAAAATGGAGCTCTTTGGCATCAACTCAACTCGCTGTGTTTGGAGGAGGAGGAATGCTGCCTATGACCCCAAGAACACCATCCCCACCGTCAAACATGGAGGTGGAAACATTATGCTTTGGGGGTGTTTCTCTGCTAAGGGGACAGGACAACTTCACCGCATCAAAGGGACGATGGACGGGGCCATGTACCGTCAAATCTTGGGTGAGAACCTCCTTCCCTCAGCCAGGGCATTGAAAATTAGTCGTGGATGGGTATTCCAGCATAACAATGACCCAAAACACACGGCCAAGGCAACAAAGGAGTGGCTCAAGAAGAAGCACATTAAGGTCCTGGAGTGGCCTAGCCAGTCTCCAGACCTTAATCCCATAAAAATCTGTGGAGGGAGCTGAAGGTTCGAGTTGCCAAACGTCAGCCTCGAAACCTTAATGACTTGGAGAAGATCTGCAAAGAGGAGTGGGACAAAATCCCTCCTGAGATGTGTGCAAACCTGGTGGCCAACTACAAGAAACGTCTGACCTCTGTGATTGCCAACAAAGGTTTTGCCACCAAGTACTAAGTCATGTTTTGCAGAAGGGTCAAATACTTATTTCCCTCATTCAAATGCAAATCAATTTATAACATTTTTGACATGCGTTTTTCTGGATTTTTTTGTTGTTATTCTGTCTCTCACTGTTCAAATAAACCTACCATTAAAATTATAGACTGATCATTTCTTTGTCAGTGGGCAAACGTACAAAATCAGCAGGGGATCAAATACTTTTTTCCCTCACTGTAGCAGCAGCCGTGTTGCATGTTTGCTCGGCTGCCTGAAATGAATTCCCAAACAGCTCTGAATTATGCGGCTGCTGTGGCTGCTGCTGCTGCTGCCCAGCTTCCATCATCGGAATATAATGCCTGCCTGAGTGCCGCTTCATTGCGCACCACGTGACTGGCCATGACTCAGCCTTGCTTGAAGAATGGCAGCAGCAAGCAGCCACAGCCTCAGTCTCAGCCTGTCGTGATGCGCCTGGCCTGCCGTCGGGCCGAATTACCCGATTTACGTATCAACGATCTCTCCCCAACCAGGGATCTCCTCCCCCCCCCCCCCCTTCGCCGTGCACGCCGTCATAAACATATTCTGTCGACGTCCTAATGCGCCATTTCATTATCACAATATGATTTTTCCGACGTTTCAGTCCATCGTCTTGTACAAGTACGTTCACAAATGTAATGTCACGGTGCTAAATGTATGGCTTACAGCGTACATATAACAAACTGCGGTGTAATTGAATTAGAGTGATGACGCTATTGACTTGTGTGGTTGATGTTGTGTTTCAACAGTGTGCCTGTGCATTCATTCGCATTACCACGCTCAAGGTCAATACAGTGCTTTACAGTATAACAAAGTATTATGGCAAAAATTATGATTTTTTTTTTTATATAAAAAACAGTTAATTTGAGGATTTTAACAAAACCATAATATAAAACAAAAATATCTTAATAAGTATGCGATGTTAATGATAGTCGTTATGGTTTTGCATGACGTTATAAATACTGATTTTTTTTTCAGATTCTAAATTAGGGGTACCGTTTGCGTTTTGTGTCAAACAATTTTATCAACTTCATCTCCATCATCACCACCACTTCCAACCATCTTAATTGTTCTGTAGCCCCATCAACAACAGTGTACGGGTGCCCAGCCTTGAGCGTCCGTGAGGTCCGCTTCCACTGAGAACAGGGAGCCTCGATAAATAATTCATGCGAACTGCACCGCAAGTGGAATTCCCTGAAACAGTGCTTGGAGTGGAGGCGGAAGGATAATCCGCTCTAAGGGGCACCCACCCAAAGCTGGCTCACAGCACGATGCCAACAGCCACAGCAGCAACAGTCCGGGAGACCTCTCTCACTAAGGTTTTTGAGATGGGGCGATGAGGGTAATGATTATAGAGTGTGAAAATGGGGAGGAGGAATGGGCCAATTGGTGCAAAGTAATACCGGCTTGATGTTGGTGTTATACGTTGCCAACATCTGTACGCACTGTACTGCACTGTCCTTGGCAATTGCCACTTTAAAAATCTTAAAGCCAAGCATCAACCATCCTTTGAGGTGTACATCACACAAGTGTGCAAACACATTTCGTTGCCTGAAGCTCTAAATGAAGCCAGACGCGTGATCTATCCATGGTACTGTGGTGTAGTGCGAGTTTATCGGTGGCCAGAGCAAACAGAAATGTTACCGGTGAGAGGCTTCTGCGGCTCTAGACGCCCAAGGCAGTAGTAGTGAGATTGAGATGTCCTCCCCGTCTCTGCTCTGAACGTGAATGTTCCAAACACATTTCCTCTAGTGCCGCCGCCGCCGCTGGCAGGTGTCTTGATGACAAAACGGTCTCTTCCGTCGGACTGATACTCGGCGTGCTTGTGCTTGCCACCATCTGCAACATGTGCGACAACACACAGTCCGTGAATAAATCACACTACATATAATTTAGAATCAACATGCGTATATTTGGAGTCTGCATGTTCTTAGCATGATTTCTCTCCGGGTCCTCCGGTTTTTCCCTCCACACTTAGAATCAATGTCCGTTTAGAGTATTTGGCTGCTATAAATGTCCAAATGATAAGCCACTTCGTTGAGCTATCACTGGTGACCAGGTCGCTTCTGAAAAATAGCTATATCGCTCAGTGGGTCTTCAGTGGTAAAATAAAAAATAGTTTTAGTTTAGTTTCTATAAATCGTTGAATCTATTCTTCAGAAGCTGCAATGCGCTCACGAATTTCCAAGGTTAGAGCCTACTTCAGTCACCAGTGGTAGAATGTATGTCATGTCATACACGTAATACACAGTACACGTTTGTTATACTCGGACTAAGCTTGATGGAAAAAGACTCGTAAACATAGACCACACTTTGTGCTGAAGGAAGAACTGCAGAATATGACGGCAGGTTTTTGTGCAATATTTTTTAAACACATAACGTGTACCGAGTGAACAAAAAAAAAACTAGCCGCTATATAGTAATGCAAATAATAACAATGTACTTCCCTTTGTCAATACACTGCTGGCAAAGAGCCTCCCCATGCTGTATTGGTCATGGGGGTTTGATGATAATGTACGTACACTAACATCGCCATGATGCCAATTCAGTGCCAGTCTGGATAACGCAAGGCTGGCAGGCCTGCTTCAGGTATCGCTCGCCACTGATGTCAGCCATGGCTGGGAAATCGTGAACTCGGTCAAGGGTAGCCACAGTGTTGCTCACCACTGTTCCACCGCTCCACACGACAGCAAAAGTACGCAGGGCTGCAATGGCATCTTGCAGCACGTCGTGAATGAGGATGTCACGTACTGCAATTAGTCGAATATGCCAGAAGCAATGGACACAAATCACAAAAAAATGCAGATATGTGTGTGTGTGTATGTGCCATGGCTGCTATAACCTGCCTCCAACTGAAGACTGCATTCATCCTCTTACGCTCGCCGTAATGTCAGCGAATGCATTTATGAGCACTTCACCGCTCGAGTGTCATCGTCCAAGTAGCCAGGGTACATTGTGAGACGTGACGACGATGATGATGATGAACAATGCAACGGGTTGTTATGCTGCACTGAATTATTCTGCAAGTGTGCAAGTGTCAGTAGTGTACGGCAGAGTGCATGCAGGATGACGCCATACGGACGCTTGCCGTCGTGTTTTTAGTGCGACGTGCAGTGATGCATCTGGATGTTAACATTGCTATTCAGTGCCGTGAATAAAGAAAACAATCCGGACGATGCGTTTCACGCTCTCTTCACGGCATCCTCAGTCTTATGGGCTAAGGTTGCAAATGTCTCCGAATGCTTTAGGTAACTCGAAACGCCGTTGCTGCAAGTTCATCAATCCACCCACGAGTCAAGTTTTGCACTATTACCGCACACCGCTCTTAAAAAAACACACTGGGTCGTGTCGACATTCACGAAGCGAAGCGACTTGAAAGCCTTGGGCCACCCTATATGCGACGCGGATGCACGTTGCAGGACAGGGCAGCATTCAAATGCAATCACCGCTGGCGCCCTGCGCATGAACGTCGACACGTGTATTAGCAGGTTTACGTTGGGCACGAAAAGCGGAGACCCTTTAAACGCCAGTCATGCCAAGTGTCCGTGTCGCCTGGCTCTGATCGTGACATCGGTGGCTGGCTGTATGACGGGCAGAAAGCAGCAGCAGCATCATCATCACAGGGCCTTGTGGAATCAATCGCACAGCACGCTAAACAGCTATGTAACGGGTCATTGCTTCGGCAGTAAGAGCTATGATATTGTTTACACCGTTGTTGCTAGGCTATTGATACTGCTGCTGTATTGTTATTGCTAGGGCAATTGCTGACACTGTAAGTGCTTTGGGGCAGGCGGTTGCTTATATTTACCGTATTCATAGTCACAGCGCTCGGCCTGTACAGGTTTTTAATGAAATCCTCACGGACGAAATGAGACAAATGTATAAAGGGGTTCAATTGGGTTACGCGATACAAAGTATTACGTGGTGTAGGCAGTCAGGCGTGCGTTCGTAGCGAATAATAATAATAAAAGCCTTATGCACCTTAACGCACATTGGCCACTATACAAGCCCCGTATGGTGCAGTCGGAGCCAGATCCCCACCACCGCCACCACACCACAGGCCAGAGGCGCTTCGTGCGTAGCAGACCCCCGTCTCCCGATACGGACATGCAAGCACACATGCGTGCCACGTGCGTTACTAATTGCGCAGGCCGTGTCGTTCATGTGCGAGTGTACACAGCCGCCCATGCCTCTTGTAGGACGCCGGGTGAGAGCACGAACACGAACACCCCCGCCGCCGCCACGCGCGACGCAGTGCGCCTCCCAGCCAGCTCGCGGCACGCCAAGCCCTGGTAACTCACGTCCACCATCTAACCCCACCACACACACCTGCTATCACCGCGTCGTGGTGGTGAGGGTGGTGGTGGTGAGGGTGGTGGTGAGGGTGAGGGTGGGGGTGGTGAGGGTGGTGGTGGTGAGGGTGGTGGTGGTGACGGTGGTGGTGGTGGTGAGGGTGCCGGTGGTGATGGTGCTGGTGGTGGTGGTGAGGGTGGCGGTGGTGAGGTTGGGGGGGTTGGTGGTGAGGGTGGTGGTGGTGAGGGTGGTAAGGGTGGTGGTGGTGAGGGTGGTGGTGGTGAGGGTGGTGGTGGTGGTGGTGAGGGTGGTGGTGGTGGTGAGGGTGGTGGTGGTGGTGAGGGTGGTGGTGGTGGTGAGGGTGGTAAGGGTGGTGAGGGTGGTAAGGGTGGTGGTGGTGAGGGTGGCGGTGGTGGTGGTGAGGGTGGTGGTGGTGAGGGTGGTGGTGGTGAGGGTGGTGAGGGTGCCCCCCGTGCCCCCCGTGCGCTCACCGAACAGTGGGGGGCCCCGCACCCTTCGTGCCACTCGCCGCCGCTCCGCTGGGGGGGTCGCGGGGGGCCCCGGGCTACGGGCGCGCGGGGGTCGCGCTGCCTCAGCAGCAGAAGCAGCCTGCGTGGGAGACGGGGAGGTGGTGGTGGTGGGGGGACACCTCCTAACGAAGCTCCCAAAGATCGAGCGGCAGCAGCAGCAGCCACACAGCTACCCCACACAGCTACACCACCACCATCAGCAGCAGCACTACACCACACAGCTACACCACCACCATCAGCACTACACCACACAGCTACACCACACAGCTACACCACCACCATCAGCACTACACCACACAGCTACACCATCAGCAGCACAGCTACACCACACAGCTACACCAGCCCCATCAGCAGCAGCAGCACCACTACACCACCATCATCAGCAGCACTCACACCCAGCGACTCTCCAACGCCTCCCTCCCTCCCTCCCGCACGGCCCCCGGGCAACTCCGCCCCGCGATGACGCGAGCCCGGCAGCGCGGCGTCCCATCAGTGACACCACCACCATCATTATCATCCACCTCCATCCACCTCCATCCACCACCATCCACCACCACCATCATCATCCGCCACCATCATCATTATCATCCACTACCATCCACCACTACCACCACCATCCACCACTACCACCACCACCATCATTATCATCCACCTCCATCCACCACCATCCACCACCATCATCATCATCCGCCACCACCACCATCATTATCATCCACCTCCATCCACCACCATCATCATCATCCGCCACCACCACCATCATCATTATCATCCACTACCATCCACCACTACCACCACCATCCACCACTATCCACCACTACCACCACCATCATCATTATCATCATCCACCTCCACCATCCACCACCTCCACCATCATCATCCACCATCCACCACCATCATCCACCACCACCATCCACCACTACCACCATCATCATCATCCACCATCCACCATCATCACCCACCTCCACCATCCACCACCTCCACTACCACCTCCACCATCATCATCATCCACCATCATCCACCACCATCCACCACCATCCACCACTACCACCATCATCATCATCATCCACCATCCACCACCATCATCATCCACCTCCACCATCCACCACCTCCACTACCACCACCACCATCATCCACCACCACCATCATCATCCACCACCACCATTCACCATCATCCACCACCATCCACCACCATCCACCACCACCATCCACCTCCACTACCACCACCACCATCCACCACCATCCACCACCATCATCATCCACCACCATCCACCACCATCCACCTCCACTACCACCACCACCATCATCATCCACCACCATCCACCACCACCACCTCCACTACCACCACCACCATCCACCACCATCATCCACCACCATCCACCACCACCATCCACCTCCACTACCACCACCACCATCCACCACCATCCACCATCATCCACCACCACCATCCACCACCACCAAATATCGTCACCATCCACCACCACCAAACATCGTCACCACCAAACATCGCCACCACCACCACCACGAAACATCGCCACCACTCTAGGCTAGCTATATGATATCAGCCGTACACTCAACTCCACCGAGGTGAATTTACTCGGTTCGCTAACGACGCATAGTACTGTAATGTGTCTATGTGTAAAGCGTTTATACACACACATATCAAATGTTGGTTTTCGATGTATTTATTTTTCCAGTTACGATCATAGACTCGACGATATATGTGCCAACTTCTGATATAGTATTACCTCCAGCGCGATCACAATCACAATGCGTAGCGGTCACACGGTGTATGGGGGGGGGGGTAAGAAATACTCGATCTCAATCCACGTGCTGGTCGATGAGGATAAAGGTCATTACAATATTGTAGTTATTTAATTTGTGCCCACAAATTACCCTGAAAAGTTATAATCTCACAGATTAGTGAACAATTATTCCATAAAATAAAATAATGAACAATTGTTGTTCATTTACGATTGCATAAATGTCCACGGTCCTGCAGCTGTTATTGCAGTTTCGTGTGTCCCCTGCAGTGAATGACATTGTAGAGAGCTCTCTGCTGCCCCTGTTTGCCCCATGCTGTGCATAGCTCAACGACGCAATGCCCCGATCCACAAACACGAAGGAGCCTTCACGGCGATAAACTCTGCTACTGCTCCTGCTGACGCCGTTGATCTGGCTCATTTTACTTGGAAATGTGAAATTGTAGTCTTTCCTCTGCATCTGCATCTACATCAGCCGTACGGAAGAAGGCAGTGGTCCCTGGGAATGTGTGCCTTGTACAGAACCCGAGTGAGGCTGGAGTACTGGAACATCGCATTGGCCATAAGAGGCGACAGTTGCCAGAGGTGGCGAGATGCTGCCTCGCCTGGTATCTCTGTACAGGAGATCGTGGGTCATAGGTTCGCCTGGTGTACAGGAGATCGTTGAATGGATCCCGACCCTGACGCCTGCTGTATATTTGTTCTTTGCATGATTCATCTCCGGGACCTCCGATTTTTCTCTTCACATTAAGAATCAATGTGCGTTTAGAGTATTTGGCTGCTATACATTTCCACGCGAAAATCCACCTCGTTGAGCCATCATTTGTGACCGGGTTTACTTCTGAAAAAGAGTTACTGGTATACAGCTCAGTGGGCCTTACATGGGAAAATTAAAAAAAAATAGTGAAAACGAATACAGTTTATTAATACGTAGGCTTTCGCTTCATCAGGCTGTCACCTGAGGTTGGTTGCAGTTACCGGTGAAACGTCGTACTCGAATTGTAAATGCTGTGTTTACTCTACAACACACCAGTGTGCTGAACTAGTATCGAATTGACATGTTTACGTGACAACCCTTCCTGATTCGCTGTGTCGGGTGGTGGCAACTTTAACGACACGTTAAAATTTACGCCGTCTAATTTAAAAGCCTTCATTATAGAGTTGTATACTCAGGTTCTTTTGGTAAAGTCACGTAGGTAAAAATAAAATAAAATTAATCAAATTACTCTACAGTAATTCTGCTGTGCCTTTTTTACACCTGATGAAGGAAGCTTGTGTTGCCTCCGAAACGTCGTAATTTGATTAATTTTATTTTATTTTTACCTACGTGACTTTACCGAAAGAACCAAAGAGTATGGATCATTGCAGTCACGAAATCTTCAAATCTACGGAGTTGTATTTCAGTATATCCACAAGGTGGGAGCACTGAGCCGTGTTTTCACACAACCCTGCAGTCACACATGCCTTCTTCTTGGTCATCGCCACTGCGTTTCCATGTATTGGTGGAACCATCAACCCCACCAGAACATTAAAAGGCCGATGTGCCACATCTCCTTTTGTAAATTGTCAGAGTAAAGACACAAGCCACAGGAGTGAGATTGTGGCCATGCAACCCATACTTTGAACCGTAGAGTACAGTTGTTTGCGCTCCTTCAACAGAGGAGGAAGAGCAAAACAACACGAACTCTCTCCTGAAGCCCTCTCGTCATGGCCAGCCACACCTCGGTATTGGACATTTAGCTCCTGAACATATTGCCATCCGCAAAAAAATATATTCGATGATGATAGTGATGATAGTTCTGGTGATGGTGGCAATGATGGTCGTGGTGATGGTAATGATAGTTGTGGTGGTGGTGTTTGTGATGAGGATCCATGATATAGGTTTTTTTTTTGGGGGGGGGGAGGGTTAGATCACGTAAATATGTGTCGTTAAATCCGCCACAACCAAACACAGCCAATTAGTAAGGTTTGTCACGTAAACAGCACATGCCAATTCGTTACCAGTACAGCACACCGGTGTGTTGGAGAGAAAATCCACAACATTTACAATCTGAGTACGACGTTTCGTCAGTAATTACAACTAGCTTCATCAACTGAAGCTAGTTGTAATTACTGGCTGTGTCGGGTGGTGGCGGGTTTAGCAAAACATCTATATTTACGCGATGTGACTCAAAAAAGAACTATGGGTGAGATTGGTCGTGAGAGCCTCCTGCGTGTTAAAATGCGATGAGGATGTGGAGCCTCCAACTGCCCACGAGAGGAGCCACGCTCACAACAACGGGCGGAGAGCCGGGCGCCTAAAATTCAGCGAGTTGTTGGCACAGTCGGGGGCCACAGCTTATGCAGCATCTGCCAGTCATCTTAATCGGTCAACCCATGGCACCTGGGTCTGTCCCGTGACCGTCTGTCAGCGAGCCTTTGACGCTTCGCGTGGCCTCAAAGTGCACCTGGCCTGGCACGGGGGCCGTGGTGGCGTCACCGCCACTGAGTGGCGAATGGCGGGTATGGTGATGTTCGCGGAGGTGATTGCGCTAATGATGGTCGTGGCGATGGTAATAATAGTTGTGATGCTGCTGTTGGTGATGTTGCTGGTGGTAATGTTGATCGTGGCGGTCGTTGTGATGGTAATACTAATTGTAATGCTGCTGCTGGTGCTGGTGGTGGTGTTGATGATGATGGTGGTAGTAGTGGTGGTGGTGTTGATGATGGTGGTGGTAGTGGTGGTGGTGTTGATGATGGTGGTGGTGGTAGTGGTGGCAATTAAATTTCCATCGTTCTCCCCTCCCCCTCCGTGTTCCGCTCAGCGAGCGCGCCGCGCCTCAGTGATGTCACACGGGCTGGAAGCTTCACGAACCCCGCGGTGCGCGGTCGAAGCATCCCGCACCCCAACACCGTCCAGCAGTGGATAGAGCCTTGGCGTGCGCCTCTAACCCAGCTGCTTGGAGGAGGCGTGGGTTGCGGGATCTCTTGAGGACGGGAGAGTCCTGCGCTGTGAGGCTCTCTATGCCGACCGGGCGTCCGCACCAAGTTCGGTATCAATATGGTGAGCGATGGGGAGCCCCCGCTCACCAGGTTGTTGTTGTGCTAAGGAGGGACGAACCGGCCCAAGCCGTAGACGGAGCAAGCCAAAGACCCCGAGCCGATCAGCGGTGGGACAGCGCCTGTGTCGAGACCTCCCAGGGCACCCGCCCAACACAGCGAGACCCAAATCCTTTTGTCCATTCACGCGACTTTTTAATTCATTCCTGGCCTCGAGTTTCATTCACATCCGTATTGACACAGACGCGCACGCTCGGTATTACGTTCCAATAATTTTTTATCCGACTCTTGAGAATTAAATGTCACATAAAGTATGAAGTGGAGTTGGTCAGGTTCATCTCAATAGGGTTTTATGAAGCAATAACGGCAATGTAACTTTAACAATTGTTATTTCATTAGAAACGTCGCTGTAATTGAGATGCTCCATAGCGCATTCTGCCGGTGACAGAACGCATCGCCATCTTTATCACTGCATGGGCCAGCCGAGGCAGATTATTTTGAGTTAATACAGCGGAATGGTTGACTTATTTTTAGTCAAACGTTACAGCATGGTATAGAAGCATGCAGCCATGTGGCACGTGGGAGCAATGTTCGCCTCAAATCTTCAGCACTCGACTGCCAAGGTTAATGAAGCAACAGGAGGCCACAGTCTGACCACACATACAGCAACTGCGATAACAATGCCTCCTCCAGGTTCCATCGCTGCCATTCACGTGCTCCCAGCCAATTCCGATCATACGACCAGGTGGATGTGGGGGGGGGGTTGAATCAACAGATAAACTAGGGCCTTGTGAAAATTTTAAGAAGAATTATTAAATGGTTTTAAGTCATTAATAAATGTACCTGCAGTCTACCATGTGAGATTGTCTCCCTCTAAAACCCAATACACGGTGCAATTAAAATAATAAATATAGTTATAGCCTACGTAATATTGTACCGTATACGGGTTTAAAACATCCGTAGCTATTTCCTGTAATAGTGAGTCGGGAGAAAGGATTGGGGGGGGGGCACAGTCGGATCTTGCATAACCCCCCGTAGAAATATGTAGCTGCGCCCCTGCATACGAGCGCATATTGTTTTCCCAAGTTATTTCCAACCCCGACCTGCAGCTATGGAGCACCGCAGACGATGTCACACATTGTGAACGACTGTCCACTGACATGTTTTGACGGTGGACTACCGGCGATTCACCGTGCTGGAGATGATGCTGCTCGTCGGCTCGGCACACAGTGCAAACGCTAATAATAACTTCCAACCCCTATTCGTTCTCAGTTCAATCTGCTTACCGAATGCACGTGTACAAGCCAGTGCACGAGTGGACACGTGCACCCTGCTGCTGCGTAAATCATTTCGTCAATCACCGCAGGGCGTGGAGGGTATTGCACCAAACTGATCGATGCCCGTCAGTACAAAAGGGGAGCAATATATGAGCATAGAAAAATAACACTTTATTGTTGCTGCACTGCCCACAGTATGGCCCCTCGGCCTATAACAAACCGGTTTATGCTGCAGTGTATTTGCCCATCAGATCACTCGCCATACTTACTATACGCTGGCTTCTGAGTTATGACAACATGGGGTGCATTCCGGGTGATTTTGTCACTGGGTAAATCCATAGTGGCACAAGAATGCATCACTGTACTACAGTCTGAGATCAGCTCTCCTTTAACTATCTCTCTATACTCGTTGCAGCTCAACTTGGCTTAAACGCCTTCACATTCACGTGCTGACTTTTGCATCACGAGCATCAGGTCGTAAAACACGATAGTAGAAGCAACTTCCACAGACAGACACATCGCATTAACATAGCCACTTCCGTGCCCTCGGCTAGGAGGCCGCTTTGGATTGCACCACTCTTCGATTTCACATTAACATCATGCTAATCTCTCACATTAACATCATGCTAATCTCTCACATTAACATCATGCTAATATCTCACATTAACATAGCCACTTCCATGCCCCCGTCGAGGAGGCCGCTTTCCTATCTTACAGTTACATGCTATCTTCTTGGTTATTTAGGTAAAGTCACGTAGAATGGAAATAAAAAAAAATTATTATGTTTTATTTTTATTATTTTACTTCCATTCTACGTGACTTCACCGAAAGAACCAAGAAGATTCATCCCTGCAGTCACGAAAGCTTTAAATCGAAAAAAAAAGTTACATGCTAATTTCTCACATGAGCATCACTAGCCCCGGCCACTTCTTTATGACCCTTGGGCTACACCCATTTTAAACCTTTTAAAAACAGTCTGTCTCAGCAGCAGACCAAAACTTTCCCACCTGATGATGGACGCTTGTGTTGCGCCCGAAACGTCGTGATTTATTGTATTTTATACCTACGTGACTTTACCGAAAGAACCACAGAGTATGGATTCCTGCAATCACAAATGCTTCAAATCAAGACTGACATATCTGTGATGTATTAACGCCATTGCTTTCGTTACAACTGCACAGTGCCGTGTTGGTTATTTTGTCGATCCCAAATGGGTTTGTTTCAACACACTGCCGATAAGAGGCTTAGAACGTACATTTAATTAGCATTCCCTCCCAAGGCATCCCCCCACAATGAGATTCTGTAACCCTGACCAGTTCACAACAAGCTTCTATCTATCCTAATAACCCGTGCACGCCTGCGTAAAGCACAGCACAGCGCCACGTTCAGCCATAAAGACATCACGAGCCTCGTTATTTCATGAGACTTCTTGTTACTGAATATGACATCCATCCTTGGGAATACAAAAAACAATCAACACGAATACAGTAAAGCCTTTGGGAGCACAGCCCATACGCATGAGAAACGTGTGTAATTAAAATTTCAAAGCACGTTTGATTTTCACATCAATAATATTCCACTTAATTTCTGGGGTTATTTTTTTTCTCTCCAAACTTTTAAGTCATAAGCATGGTTGCTCTTACCGGCCGGCTCCAGACGCTTCGGGGTCCCATGTGCTTTGATTCCAGCTGCTTCTCTCCGATACAAGCAAGATCGATTGGCTCTGCTGTGCGTGAGCAGTGGAAGTCAATGAGGTCAGCTTCGTTCAAACCAGCACCAGACACGGCGGTTTGGCGAGTGAGGTGTGGTGCTGGTGTGGTGGTAATGGTGATGATGAACATCGCATTCCGAACAAAATGTTGACTCGCAGCTTTTATTTCTTGGTTTTGCAGCCGGAGTTTTGTGGCGGTGGTGGTGGGGAGAGCATGGGATGGTGGGTTATGTGTGCACCGTTGCACGCATAATGGTTACATCCTTGTGTATGTGTGAGCTTGCGCACGCGTTTGTGTCAGTCGTTGGAAGGGTCTCCATACAGCCATATCTGGGCAATACGCCACGACGTCATTTACAATCGGCATCATCTATTAAAGAAACGGTGTCCTTTCAGCACACATTATATCATCACTGCAGCTTCTGCAGGGCATGCACAAATACATTTGGGCACATTGTCACACTGCACTCGTTATTTAGGGTTTGTTTGTTTTATCTTACAAATTATATCGCTTGTTATTCCTTCTAACTGTATACAGTATTGTGGGTTATACACATTTCCAGAGACTGATTTTGAAATGACACGTTGGGCAAACGCACGTTGGTGTTGCACATCGATAGAGACACAACACTAATATCTTAAACGAGCTTGTTTGCCCGTCCTAGGACGGAAGCTGTAATATTTACGAAAAAAATTGAGCAGCGTTATAATTGTATCTTGTGTGTAAATTTAATGGGAGTGAATCTTGCACGAAAGTATGTCATCAAACACTTCACTGCAGTTCACTGTAGCACTGTATATAACTGACCTTCAATTTGTTCAAATTCACTGCTCTGATACTTTATTCTCTTCTGCTTTCGGTCGCTGGGGTTGAAATAAATGGGAATTCGATACAATATCTGGAAAAATCACCGAGAAATGTCTATTTTACCATAACGTAGAAGCATAAATTAGACTTACCTCTTGTCTCAAGTGCTGAAGAAAGAAATAAAGACACCAAATCCACTTTGTTGCTGCATAGAATTATTTATTAGATTCATTTTCAATAAAGAAACGTAAAACTTAAGCGAATTTGCGAAAAATTATGCTTTCCGTTCGACCTTCTGCGTGGGTGTAAAAATCCACCCGCTCATGAATATTAAAGACGGGGGGGGGTGTGGCTTGTGTAGTGACGTCACACGCGTTACACACAAACATACACCCTTGGCTCACTAATATCTCAGATGAAATAAAAGCCAATCTTTACACGTGAATACACATTTCTTTCCCGCACCTCCGATTAGCACGGTTGACTACGTGCGGTGCGAAATATCTTCCAACATCCATACACATTAATTTAAACTATGTATCCGTAGTGGGGGAGTAGCGGTGCATTGATTAGTGCAGGGACGATAATATCCGACGAGCTGAGACATATATATCAGTGGTGACTTAGCCACAGCGGTCCTGGACTGCCTCCTTCCCCTCTCTCACCAAACTGGACTGACCAGCACGGGTGAAGTATGGTCAAACAATCCCCGTGACTGACAGTGTGAGTGGGCTTTCATCAAACACGGGGGTCGGCAACATGCAGGTCCGGAGCCGCATAAGTCCTCTTTATGGGCTGCTTTGTGACGTAATATATGTACGCAGTGCCGGATGTAGTAGCTACTACATATTATATATATGTAGTAGCTACTACATAATATAATATGTAGTAGCTACTACATATGTAGTAGCTACTACATATGTAGTAGCTACTACATATGTAGTAGCTACTACATATTATGTAGCTACGGGCCCCGCACTTTCAAGGGCCCCGCGCTAAATGTGTTCAAGCTATAAATTCCGGTTCAGTGATTCTGCACTTTCTCTATTGCTATAGTACTATACTGCCTTCAACTTTCATGAACGACTGGGTGTTTGAGGTTAGCGATTTGTCGTATTATCTGGCTGTATAGGAAATGAAAAAATCCAATTACTTTACTATGCAAGTTAAAAATGTATTTATTTATTTTTTTAAATTATTTAGGGCCCATTATAACATATGCTACAGGTCCCACACTCGCTTAAATCGGCGCTGTATGTACATATGTATTCACATGCACCGTGGCTCTTAAATTGTTGAGTTTTGTACCGAATTCGAAAGAAAATAACTTTACGATATATGTCTGTGCACAGACTGATTCACCTTAATGGAAGTGAATTACAAAAGTACCGCATTTGCTGGTTCTGTTTCATTGCAACTCGATTTTTTTTCTCTCAAAATACGGCACACGAATGATAACAATGTGTAACCCTTTGTCAATCCACTGCTGGATGAAGGCCTCCCGAAGCTGCGTCAGTCAAGGGGTAATGCTTGTCCATACTTCACCACGTTGGTCACAGTGTGCGCCGGTGAATTCGAAGAGCCCATCACCGGCTCAGGTATCACACGCCACTGGTGTTAGCTGCGGCCCGCAATCGAACGCGGTGCCAGGTTCATAGCACAGTGCGCTAACCAGTGCCACCGCTGTACTGCACTGGTTATGGGCACGTTTATTTAAGTTGTCAAGGTGAGCCGTGCACACCACGGTTTAAATTAAAGCTGATTTAATTGCATCTTCACAATCATAACTGTTACGTTCCACCACCGCAAGCCGAAGCTGCGAACCTCTTGGCACATGTGTCTAGAATGTGACATGCTCCACTGGGCAATTCAACCCAAGGCTGCGTCTAAAAATGACGAACAGTGACCGGGTTCCCGAGCAGTCAGCCTGTTGGAATGCATGTCGCAATCGAAAGATGTCTGTAAGACATAATCGGCACGTTGTCTTCCTTGAAGACGATTATTCATTATCAAGGCATTTTATCACTTTGGATAGTTCTCATTAATGCTGGCTTTCAAGGGAAGCGTTAGCAATCTGATAGTAAAATGTACAAGAATAAGTTGAATTTCGATTTAAAGCTTTCGTGACTGCAAGGATTCATCTTCTTTGGTTCTTTCGGTAAAGTCACGTAGAATGAGAATAAAATAATAAATTAATAAATTCAAATATCACAATCTAATTCTCACGACGTTTCGGCCACAAAATAAGTGGCCTTCATCAGGTGAAGGGACGAGACTGTCTAGAGGGCAAGCGCTTGTGTTGTGGCTGAAACGTCGTGAGAATTTTTTTGTGTTATTTTATTTTATAAATTTATTATTTTATTCTCATTCTACGTGACTTTACCGAAAGAACCAAAGAAGAAGTTGATCTTAATTATTTTCTTGCATGGGTATTATGAGGTTTTTTTTTCTCCAGGATTAACTCTACGTTTAAGACGGTGGTTCTTAACCTTTACTGCAGCCTTGAACCACTTTGGTTGTCAATCGTAACAAAAATGTAGAAAGGGCATCACTCACCCCCAGAGGGTGCGTGCATCTCAGGATAAGAACCACTGGTTTAAGATAATTAAATGACGACCATTGCACTTTATTGGTCCCAAACTACACAGTGGATCTTAATTTAGATATTTAATTGGAGAGTCCTCAACTAAGAGCAATTTTCAGCCATAGCAACGCGACAATCGCCACGCACGCAATGCGCACGTGTGAAGCGCCAGAGGGCTGGTAGTGGCCGGGCGAGGTGAGAGGAGTGAACAAGCGGCACTATCATCCACTGTGAGGCGTGAAGCCTGCGTGCGACTCGAGCTGCCCCGAGGGAACACTTAGGGATGGCTCCTAGCCAGGACTCATCAAACCAGCCGCACTCCCGCCCAGTGCAGGGAGAATCATCACCAGGCCGCGTGAACGGTGAGGGGAGTGGTGGGGAGCGGTGGCGCGGTGTTCAGCGCTCCCGCTGCGCTGCGAACCTCGGGCACCCCGAGTGACGATTATCCGAACCGGTCCTGGGCCTCCCCTAGGTCGACTCAGCATCAAATGAGTAGCTGGTGCGATGTGTAAAACATTTGAGTCTCGGGAGACAAAGCCGGGTGGGCGTGGTTGTTGGCTCACCCATTCCCTCGTGTGCCGTGCCAGCCTTCATAGGTGCTGCTCGCTAACAACGCTTGCCCCAACAGTCTGTTCAGGATATTCGAGGAGTCTTTGGTGGGGAGCGTTGGCACAGTGGTTTAGCGCTCCAATGCGCTAAGAACCCGGCGACCGGAGTTCAATTCCCGCCTACACGACCAATAACAGTGGCGAATATTTGAACCGTTCGTGGGCCTCCCCTAGGTCGACTCAGCCTTTAAAATGAGTACCTGGTGCGGTATATAAAAACATTAACGCTGGGAAGACAAAGACGGCTGGGCATGGTGTTGGCCACCCACCACTCCCTTTGTGTGCCATGCAGGCCTTCATAGGTGCTACTCGTGAACAGCACTTTCCCCAACAATCTGTTAAAGGCTACACGGGGGGGTCTTTGTATTTGGTAAGCACTCTGAGCTACAAACGCAGCCTCCTGAGTGTTTTTTTTTCGGCCATGACCAATATGTGTGGCAAGCGGTGTGCGAATCCATCCCGTGCTTCCGCGAGGTGGACTATTTTTTTTAAATAACAGCATTGGGGAGACAAAGGTGGCCATGCATTGTGCTGGGCACACCACCCCGTCACGCACCATGCTGGCATGACAATAAAACGTGTGCTGGATTACAACAACACTTGTCCCAGGCGTCTGCATGTCTGTAAGGGGGGGGGGGGGGTCGTTGTGTTTGTGAGTGTGTGTAGCGGAGAGTGATGGACGTTCTTACATCACATTGCGTCACAATCGTGGTGACCCAGGCTCCGATGCCCGTACACGGTGGCATTGGAACCCTCGTGCAGCAGCGTCTCGACCAACAGCGAAAGATAGGTGGGTGCAGGCTCGGCCGCACTCTTATTGCCATTAATAGGTGCTCGCTAATAGCGCTAGATACAAAGGTATATGAAAGTGAATATCATTGCATGCACCTATGCATTTTGTATTTGTGTCTATGCATGTACGTTTAAGCTTATTTCACACCGTACATAGCCATAGAGTATGTACACAATTTCTCAATGTGTGCATGTGCAGTTTAAAGTACTTAACACGTAAACCCAAAGTAACTGCAGGACTGCGCTTGGGACAATCACTGCCATTTTAGGTTTAGTCACCACCAACATTTTTGGTCAGGCTCAACCCATTCCCTCCCCTGCCAATGTTTACACAATCACCCCCCCACTCAATCACGACTTCAACCACAACGTGGTTTTTTTCTCCATCTGATCTGGTCCCCGCTCTTTGCCAGAATTATATTTTGAATCTAGACATTCCAGGATTTTCACAAATGGTTCTGGGACACATTTACGAATTTCACGTTTAATGTAGCGCATCCTTTTCATCAACACCAAAAAGACACTTTAGAAATCAGTTAATCATCGAATGACACTTGATTTGCGAAGGGAGTCGGCATGTAGATAAGTTGGCAGTAGCGCATCGGCTCGCAATTCGAGAAAAATAACAGCCCTCGAGTATCTTCTTTGGTTCTTTCGGTAAAGTCACGTAGAATGAGAATAAAATAATAAAATAACACAATAAAATTCTCACGACGTTTCGGCCACAACGCAATGTCCGTCGTCCCGACAGGTCTGTACCTTTCACCTGAAGACGGCCGCTTGCATTGTGGCCGAAACGTCGTGAGAATTTTATTGTGTCATTTTATTATTTTATTCTCATTCTACGTGGTGACTTTACCGAAAGAACCAAAGAAGATGAATCCTTGCAGTCACGAAAGCTTGAAATCGAAAAGCCCTCGAGTACACGCGTTGTGTCCCGCAGCCGTCTGTGCCGCTGCCGTCCAGCGCGAGCCATCCATCGTCCTCGACTACTGATCGTCCTTTTCGCGGTCTCCGTGCTTGAGGATGTGCGTAAACTCCAGGTAGTTGAGCTCCCCGCGCTGGTCAATGGGAGCAGCCGCCAGCAGCTGGTCGACCTGCGCGTCCGAGAAGCGGTCCCCCATGGTGGTCATGAGCTCGCGGAAGTGGTCCTCGTTGATGCGCCCTGCACACCCCGCGAGGCCGAGCGGACACAGCGGCCACAGTTCATGCACTGCAGGCAGGGCTGTCCACAGGTGGTGGGGGTGTTGGGGGTGCGGGGCCCCCGGGGCGAATTCCACCGTGTGGGCCCCCCGACAGAAAGGATTACATCTGACAACGTGATGTCGAAGCGCGGGATCCCCTCCCCCCCCCCCCTCTCGAGGGGCCCGGGGCGATCGCCCTGATTCGCCATGCTCTCGGGACGGCTCTGACTGCAGTCCTCGCATTTTGCAATGCACAAGGTGCATCCCTCGGTGGGAATCGATGCCTATCGTGGAAATTAAGGTGAAATGGTAAAACTGACTCGTTTGTTACTAAATACATTTGTTTTTTTTTTCTCCTCACGAATCTTTTGACGATAATTATTTCCTCTCACGCACTGGTCAACGAGGCTGTGTAGGAAAGTTTAATTTTATTTTGTTCCACCGTAAATTTAAAATGTAACAGTTGTTGACGTACAATACATTTAACGGGTGGTAGCTGAGCGGTTCACGCCCCCCCCTCCCCGACTCAGGTGATCAGAATCCGCGCAGCATAGGATGACTGTCATCTAGCAGTGGATTGACAAGCGTGCTGTATGTGTAGCATGTCCGATCGGCGCTCGCGAAGCTGCATTGGCCTCTCCGGTTGTCGGACGAATAAGTTATCAGGTCGCACTCATTCCACTCAAATTGCTTGCCACAAATGAACCACAACACCCCGCTGATCTCGTCAAGGAGCAGTAACCATCATCACGTGACACTCCGCTCGTCCTCGCAGCAGCGGCTTTTGGCTGGGCCATCGAACAAAGACGGTCACCGCGTCGCGCGCTTTCAGATGCGCTTCTGCCGGCCGTCTGGAACGCTCTTCCTTCCGATGTTAGGAAGCCACTGGAGCTATGCACTTTTAAATCATCATCTAGATTGACAAACTCATTTCTTTAGAACTGCGTTTTGTGTTAAGTTTGTTGTCCTTCCCCCACGGGAAGAAAGACGAATGTGCTTTCATGCCTTCCTTTGTCGGCGTACATTGGTGGGCCGTGGTTATCAGTTGCAGTGTGCATCAAGCCCGTGTATAATTAGTAATGCAACATGACGATATTTTGGGCTCGGCTGCAGCCGTCTTTGTCGTGCGCGCACGTTGGCGTCATCTCGAGTAACGTGGCCCAACCCACGTTGAGTAACTCAGCTGTCACTGGGAGAGGAGAAAAAAATAGAACGTGAACGTATTCTCGCGCGCGTGTGAATGTCGAGGATTGGAATGTACCCAGATAAACAGAACACTGTGATGTCCCCGCAGGATGAGGTAGGGAGGCGTGCGTTCGGGCGGCTGGGGCGACGCTGTGAGTCACAGAGCCCCGTTCGGGCCCCGTTCTCAACTAAAAAAAAAACTCAACCTGAAATTCTTATTTTTATTTTAACCAGGTAAGGCCCACTGAGCCATACAGCTCTTTTTCAGAAGCGACCGTCCCACAAATGATAGCTAGACGAAGTGGCTATACACGTGGAAATGTATAGCAGCCAAATACTCTAAACGCACGTCGATTCCAAACATGGAAGGAAAAACCGGAGGACCCGGAGAAAAATCCACGCGAACACGGAGAGAGGGAGAGGGACACGCAAACTTCAAATATGCAGCAGGCGTCATGGGTTGGGATCGAACCCACGACCTCCTGTGTACCATGCGAGGTAGTTAACATCTCGCCACCGTGGCACTCGTTCGGGCCAGGCCGAGATCGCCACCCCCTACCCACCACACACCCAGTCGTCCGCGTCCCCGTGAAGGAGGAGAGTGACGGAGGAGAGTGACGGCCGACACGTGCGAGGCCTGCGGCTATCCAGGCGACGTTTGCCTTTTCTGTGACAAGTTCCGAGCGCGGAAACTGGGTGATAGGTCAGCCTTTAGAGAAACCCAAGTATAAAATATACACGGGGTACGTAGGTTCTTTGAAATAATAATTGACATTTATAAGACGCAAATTCATACGGGGGTTTCAGGGTTTCGTTAATTCACTGCTGGATGAAGGCATTCCCATGTCGTCCCAGTCATGTGGTTGTTTGACCACATGACCTTCACATGTCACGTGTTGTTTGACCTTCCCATGTCGGTGGGGGGACAGAATCAGTTCCGATATCACTCAACACTGATGTTATCCTTGGCTGGGAATTAAACTCGGGGAAAAACTGTGTTCGTAGCACCAACTGTCCTAACCATGCAACCATTCATTAAACCACTTGAGCCCGTAGGTTAAAAACACTTTTGTAAAATATGCACGCGCGCACTAAGGTGCTCCATGGGATATGCGTGTGTTTGTGCTTCAGTAAACTACCATCGTAAAATAATCGTGATCGAGGGATTTGTGCAAGTCAAAGCAATTATAAATCATCTCGGTCAACAGACTCCACTGGATAAGATCATAATCAGGAAGGACTGGAGCAAATTTAGCACACTCCGTAGCTATCTATATATCTCACAGTCTGTGTTAGAGTTGCGTACAAAATATCTACACAGGAGTATGGATTAGCAAGAATGCAATGCAAAGAGTTGGCCATGAACCAGTGGTGAAAATTCCACATTCCTCTGGCTCGGACCTCCAGACTCAATGAGATGAGAACCTTAAAGGAGGATCTGGCTCCTGCCATGGGAATGTCGAGTTTTCACTGCAACGTCACGGCCACTCGTGTTTAATTAATTTAACACTGTGACATTTAATACGGATAGAATTAACCGAAATTAAACAAGTACAAGTTTACTAAAAAAACTATTTAGTGGCAATTATGTGCAAGTTAGGGTTTAACAGCAACATGGTGAGGCAGAACCTGAGGCAGGACTTTGGAATGAACTTCAACCTGACTTAATTAATATTTTCACAATATAAATTGATCATCGTCATTCAAGGGATTGGTATCTCGTTTCCATGGGTTATTCATATACTGTATATACATATCATTGTACGCAATGTGGGCGTGAATTAACAATTACCGCCAAGATTTGTGTGCGTTAGCGTTCGTGCCGCTCGAGGCGCTTTCTTGATTGGGTGATTAATCCAAATGTCAACTGACAGTTGCCTGCCCTTTGGTTCCTTCGGTTGTGTTGCAATCGAAACGTCGTGATTTATTTTATACCTACATGACTTTACCGAAAGAACCAAAGAGAATGGATTCCTGCAGTCACGAAAGCTTAAAATCTAGATTGACAGTTGCACAAGCAACATCATCGGCATCATCATCGGGACTTGTTGTTACATGATCCCCTGACTGCATATAATGGAGCGAATAAAATTGAGTATTTGGATAGTGAATATTTTGCGCGTGTATTTTGGACGATCGTCTTTTTTAATGTTTTACATAATTTAAAATATGTATATTTAAAAGATGTCATGAATAACCTGCTACGTTTCCATCTTGACGTTACAGTCGAATTTCTTTCAACGCGTCCATCTACCCAACACAAAACCATTACGGTGACGATGATTGCCCGTCCGTTGTATCAACGGTGACATTGGCGAAGATTTGCCCAGTGACTGGGACAAGACTAGCCGACCACAGCACACCAAGTATTCTATCACAATGACACCACTCGCTCTGTACTTCTATTGATAGATTACTTATGGTGGCGTATTGATGTCGCCACGACAACTTTCCCTCCAACTCACGTGGCCCTTATTTAAAAAAATACAGCTCCATTACTGATTACCACATTGGACTAGTATTGTGTACAGAGCACGTGTATCCCTTTAATTTCACCTGTCTGGCAATACCACAAGGTGTGTTCAACTTCTTTCCCACCGTACGTAGCCAACCGTTCTAATCAGAGATGCGTGGTGTCGGGCATACCCTAAAGTAAACTACATTCCCACTTAGTTGTATGGCTCTTTTTCAGAAGCAACCTGGCCACAAATAATAGCTCAACAAAGTGGCTCATCATGTGCAACATTTTTACAGCCAAATACTCCACACGCGTGTTGATTAATAATGTGGAGTGGGAAAACCGGATGACCCGAAGAAAAATCCACTCCATCACGGGGCGAACATCCATACACGGGCCTGGGTCGGGATCGAACCCACGACCTCCTGCATACCAGGCGAGGTAGTTAACATCTCGCAACCACATCAGCTATGTCACACATTTACCCCGATTACACTGACACTGAGCTGACAAACGGGGGTTCGAGCGAGCCAGCAGTCTATCCCAGCCCGGTTGCTCAGCAACTCAAGCAGGCTGCTGCCTGCCTGCAAGCCCGGCGAATGTTATAAACAAGGGTGTGGAAGCCAGCGAAATCACAGGGCACAGATTTCACAATGTCATTTCATCTGAAGGAAAATCAAGGTCCTCCCAGAAGTAATCGTCGCGCCAAAGCTGTTGTAGAAATCTCACCGCCAAACTGCATCCTGCCAAACTACGCAGCTGTTCAAACTTTACTTGGCGCTTCTCTCAAATTTCACACTTAACTTCTAATTTATCAATCTTTGGAAGAACGTAATCAACCAGGCCATGCGTTAATTGTGTGTTGACCGACTCTCTGTGTTGCATTGCATTACAATTCCAAATTTTACTAAGTTTGTTTGATTTAGTGTGTTTTCTCTCTCTCTCTCTGTCTCCCCTCGTTTTGTTGCTCTTATTTCCTGCAGTTGCGCCAGGTCTCTCATTGACATGGTAATTTCTCTACCCCCCTCTCTCTCTCTCTGCCCCCCTCTCTGTCTATTTAAGGCCTCGACACAGAGGCGTTGTTTCTCTGTGTGCCTATGTGTGTGTCTCTCTCTGTGTGTGTCTCTCTCTGCTTATGTGTCTGTCTATGTGTCTCCGGTTCTGTGTTTTTTCTCTCTCTTAAATTTAGCAATCTTTGGAAGAACGTAATCAACCAGGTAGGGTGTTGACTGTTATGTCAGCCGACTATCTGTGTTGTATTGCATCATATTTCTAAGTTTACTAGGTATTGTTTTCTATTTCATTTGTACCTGATGATGATTGCTTGTGTTGCAATCG